GCAACCTCCCCATCGACCCTGCCTTGAGTGTGACAGGGGGCGGGGCCCCAACCCCCCAATCGGCCCCACCCTGAGCGTGACTGAGGGTGGCATCGCAACCTCCCGATCCGCCCTGCTCTGTGCATGACAGGGGGCGGCGCCCCAACTCCCCAATCAGCCCTGCTCTGAGCCCAACCAGGGGCTGCACCTAGGGATTGGGCCTGCCCTCTGCCACCTGGGAGCAGGCCTAAGCCAGCAGGTCGTTACCTCCCGAGGGGTCCCAGACTGTGAGAGGGCACAGGCCAGGCTGAGGGACCCCCCCGCCCCCAGTGCACAAATTTTTGTGCACCGGGCCTCTAGTATTAATATAATAAAATCAACATATACTTGTCTAACATGCCATTTCTATACAGAGAAATCTCACTAGCTGCTGAATACCAAAAAAAGCTAGAATAAAATTTAAAACCAAATAAAGATAAGGAAAAAGTGAAATTCTATAGGGTAATTTAGCTCTGGAACTTGTAATTGTCCTAAAGGCATCTCTGCCTCCCTGCAGCCAGAAGGACCCGTCTTAAGGAGCTATGCCTGTATCGGGGACAAGAATCATGGTCTGCGGCAGTATTAGTCTCCTCTGGCTGCCACAGTAAAATATCACAGAGGGCATAGCATAATAAATAAATAAATAAAATATTTATTTTCTCATAGTTCTGGAGGAAAGAAGTCCAACAATCAAGGTGTCAGAAAATTCCATTTCTGGTGAGGTCTCTCTTCCTGGTTTGCAGATGGCCACCTTTTTGCTGTGTCATATGACCTTTGCCCTGAGTGTGTAGAGTGCACTCTGTTGTCTCTTCCTCTTCTTATAAGGACACCAGTGCCAACAGATTAGGGCCCCACCCTTATTACCTCATTTAACCTTAATTACCCCCTTAAAGGCTCTATCTCCAAATGTAGTCACATTGGGGGTTAGGGCTTTGACATATACATTTTGAGGGACAGAATTCAGTTCATAACAGGGGCTGAGGTGGATGAGCAACAGGATTGGGGAATCTCCATAGGGAACCACTTTCAGTGAGTGAACTAGGAAACCATCTAAATTTTCTCTTCTTTCCTTGAAGTAGAGCTGGGAAGGGGGAACCAGTCTCCTCTAGGAATGCCATTCACGGCCTAACACTATGTTTAAGGATGAAATTCACACTACTTCTAAGTGTGTGTGAGAGTGCATGTGCTGAAGAACAGGGGAGGAAAAGGCGGGAATCCAAGGTGAACATTGACTTTGAAGTGGCCCAGGGTTAGCAGTGTCACAAGAAACAAACCGGTGGTTCTAGAAAGAGAAATCTTCTCTGTAGAAACATACTTTAAACAAAAAATTCCCTAAAATCAAGTAAAAAGAAATATGAACTCACAGTCCAAATCACTGATCACATTAGAAAACAAATCATCATAAACTTGTTTCGGAAAAAACAGCAAACGACAAACTGTAGAGTCAGATCCACAAAAAAAGTACATTTTATATGTTTAAGGAAAAGAAAAAGAGGGCATAATGGAACTATCCCAAATGACCAGGAAAGTATGAGGAAGAACCAAACAACACTCTGGAAATGAAAGAAAAAACACACAACCATAATTTAAAAAATTATAGGTTAAGTAGGTTAGAAACAGTGAGAAGAAAGAATGAGTGAAGTGAGCAACAGAGTTAAAGAAACTATGCAGAATTTACAGGGATGGTCAAAATTTCACACAGAGAGAGATAGAAAATATGAATCAGAGAAAAGGAGAACAGAGTGAGGCAGTAAAACCTAAGTCTAATTTGATACCTGAAAGGAGAGAATAGACAGAATGAAGGAAGTACAATATTCAAAGAGATAAAAGTTGAGCCCTAACCTGTTTGGCTCAGTGGATAGAGCATTGGCCTGCGGACTGAAGAAGGGTCCGGGGTTCGATTCCGGTCAAGGGCATGTACCTTGGTTGTGGGCACATCCCCGGTCAGGGGTGTGTAGGAGGCAGCTGATCGATGTTTCTCTCTCATCGACGTTTCTGACTCTTTATCCCTCTCCCTTCCTCTCTATAAAAAAATGAATAAAATATATTTATTTTAAAAGAAGTTGAGAATTTTTCTAATTTATGAAAGATACAAATTTGTAGATTCAAAAAGCTCAATGAATCTGAACAGGATAATTTCAAATACTGAGAACAAATGACTATCAACCCACCTAGCTAATTTTCAGGGATAATGAGATGGTAAACTTGTAGGTAAATCTAAATAAATATTGACTGCATAATTATTTTTTGGAGTTAAACTGAGATAAAATAAATTCTAGATGCTAATTTTAAGTTGAGGGGGAAAATCAGACTTTGTTCAAAAGTCTTTTATGTTTAGAAAGAAAAATAAAGATTTTATGCTAACTATGCAAATTAAATTGGTAAGCACTAAAAGATAAAAATTGAGGGTTTTTTACCTTCTAAAATAGTAGAGAAAAAGTAAATGGAAAAAACAAAAACATACAACTTAATCTGAAAGAAGGCAAAACCCCCCAAAACAACCCACAAGGGCAGTAAGGTAACAGAAAAAGTGTAACAAAAATTATAATAAGATGATATAAGTAAACCCTAATATAGTAGTAAGTTCAATAAATATAGATTGATCAAACTCTCCAGGTAAAAGATAATCAGATAAAAAGAAAGAAAAATCACAGTTTTTAAGAGGCACATCTAAAACATAACAGAGAGGTCCAACAGAAGGATAAAGAAATACATATCATACAAATATTAACCAGCTGGTGTGGCCTATATATTTGTTAAAGCATAGATTTTTAAAGCAATGTAGAATGAAATAAAAACATTATTAGGAATAGAGGTCATGACTATGAATACAAAACTCAATTCTAAACTTGGAAGATAATTCTAAATTTGTATGTACCTAATAACAAAGCTTCAAAATATACAAAACAAAAACTTACAAAATTACAGGGAGAAAAAAATAAAAAAAATTTCAACACATCTTAGAATCTGAGTGATCAAACAGAAGGAAAACCAACAGTGAAATGAAGACAATTTGAAAAACACAATTAAGAAGTTTGGTCTAACAGACACCCAACAACTGGGAAATATTCAGACTTTCAAGCACTAAGAAAACATTTACAAAAACTGATCAAATTTAGGTCATAAGGAAAATAACAAATTTTGCCATATCAACTTTATATGGACCCATCTCTGACCACAATCCAATTAAAGCAGATATCAATAATGAGAACAGAATTTAAAAATCTGTAAGTTAGGAAATGAAACAAAAGTAGCACATATGTAAGTCAAAAAAGAATCATTATGAAAAATAGAAAACACTTAGAACTTAAAAAACAAAATATTTCTATAGGACTTAAGCATTATTCAAAAGAAAATCATCGTGTGAGCTACACAGAACCCCTCTTATCTCTGCTCAACGGCATAAACAGCAAAAATGTTGTAAATTATGTAATTACCATATAAAAGTTAATATACATGTATAATACATATAAAAAGTGATTTGTAGATTGAGAAATATAAATGAAAATACTCACTACTAGAGTATTAAAAGGGAAGCAAACCAACCATCTCTTTTAGAAGTTATACTGAATAACTAAAGAGAGAAGTTGGTAGCTTAAATGTTTAAAGGTCAAAAAGCCAATTATTTCATTTTGGTTTAAGATGTCCCTTAGATCCTTATATAGTATATACAAACTCATATGGTAAAGTACTTATTATTCCTATGAGATGGACAAATACTATGAGAAATCCTTGTTGCACCAGTTGAGTAACCACAGTTAAGAATACATTCCTGCTCACACAGTCCTGATTTCTTGGTTATAGAGTCTATTCAATGGTGCATTGGCAATTAATAGCATTCCAAAAACTGCCTACAGTACAAAGGGAATTTTCATTTAAGGCTCCCCTTGCTTTTCATGTGTGGGATATTTTTGAAAGTATGTGTTTTTTTCCATCCACTGAAAGAGAATTAAGAAAATTCCAACATGCCTCTGTGTCAGCAAGAGCCCTTTTGAGTCCAGGTACCAGAGGATGATTGATGAACCTGTCAAGCCTACAGTAGCGGACAGAGAAAGTTGGCAGAAGTTCAGTGTTATTGAAAGAAATCTCAAATACTTATTTCATCTCCTCTATTAACTTTAATCACATTTTCAACATGCAGCCAAGAATGCAGCTTTGACAGTACGCCATAAATTTACACAAGCCAGCATTGTCACTTTCTGCTCTAGTGAGACTGAGATACATGAGAGAGTTGGATATGTTCTTTCAGTGCCTTTCTTTATTGAAGAGCAATAAAAAACATTGAAAGATTTATCCATACCTCAAATTCATTTACTATAAACCTCTTGAAATATTGCATTTGTTATTATTTTTTTTTAATATATTTTTATTGATTTTTTACAGAGAGGAAGGGAGAGGGATAGAGAGTTAGAAACATCAATGAGAGAGAAACATCGATCAGCTGCCTCCTGCACACTCCCTACTGGGGATGTGCCTGCAACCAAGGTACATGCCCTTGACCAGAATCAAACTTAGGACCTTTGAGTCCGTAGGACGACACTCTATCCACTGAGCCAAACCGGTTAGGGCTTAAAATATTGCATTTAATTTTGCTTTGTTTACGGCAAATAAAAAATAACTTAGTTCCTCAATTACACTGTTAAGTGCAGATTTTTAAAGCTCACAGTGATGACTGAGTTGGTACATGTTTCATCATAGTACACCTGCTTATGAGAACAGACGCTAACACTAAAAAGGATTTACATTTAACATGGATTATTTGCCATATGGGTAATTACTTCTGGCATATTCAGAGCCAGAATAATTGTATGATTCCAGAGGAACTCCTTGCAGATTTTGCTGATTACCCATTACACAGTTGAAACATTTTAGAGATTATTTGTCTTACAAAGCTCACCCACAGCAAAAGAGACACAAAAATGAGGTAAATACTATGGGCAAGATTATGGTTCTTGGAAAGGCTAAAAGTCAAACTATATTTTTGGTAAGTTTTTCCTTCTAAGCATGTTTTAAAAGCTGAAAGTATGAAGTGCTGGAAGGCCACAAAACTTAATAAGTGTGTCTTGTCATCAGTGAAACACATGGCATTATGCTGCACTGCAGACTCTGTAACCTTTCAGCAGTTCAACGACCAACAGGGCCACCTTTGCTACAGTAGAGAGTGTTTTACTCTCACCTCTCATAAAGGTGACCTCTGTTCCAAGGACCATTGTTTCTGTCTATATTACTGATGGAATAACACTCTACACATTCTTCCAATAGCCAAGGAGGCTAAAGCAGGCAACTACTATATCTGCTTTCTAAGCCACAATAATAAGCTAATATTAACCCCATATAAGAATGAAATTATTTTTCTAAGAGGTCTATACTTACAGTTCTCTGAGATAATCAATAACAAAGAAGACCAATTCTGATTAACAAAAAGTAAATTTATCCAATTTTTCTTCCTACTCTTGCCCAAATAATTATACATAGGCACTTAAACAGGAAAGATATAGCACTCTTCTTCCACTAAACATTTAATTAGTACTCCAGTAGAAGTTTCTTTCTCCTGATATGAGTGTCACTAAATATATTGCTAAGCTTGAAGCAGAGGCTAAATGGTTTGATGAGAATAGTTAGTTCTTTGGGGGAAGTCAATGCTTTCACACCGTTGTGGTTCAAGTTCTCAAAAGGTTGAAAATTTTCCTAGGTCCTTCTTCATTTCAGCATATTGTTCTTTAAGCCTCTCCACAGCTTTTCTGTGCTCTTCATCCACTTCAGCCTGTTTGTTGTGTTGTTCTTTCATGAAATCTTCCCACTGGATTATATGCTGGTTTTCACTAGCTATTATATGGTCATTATAAATCTGAGAAAAGAAAATTTGAAAGTCATGTGTCATTTTCCAGACAATTATTTTTCTATGCAGAAGAGACAAACATAACTTTAACTCTTGATATTTGGTTACTATAGCAATCACAGCTTGAAAATCACAATGATAAAACTGCATTATAGTTTTAATGACCAACAAGAACACGACATATTAGAAACTTACTATGACTGAACATGGGTATCTACATTGTCGAAATTTCAAAAATGTCTAGTATTGTTAAATGACAAAATCAAATACAATTCAAGTAAATTTTCATACCTCTATTTCTCCTCAAATACCATTTAACTGCATATAACTTTTAAATAAAGCTTAAAGAATATATGCCAAAAATGATTATTATAAGAAATTTAAAATGTATATCTTACACAAAATATTTCTTTAAATGCATTAAAAATAATTATTCATTGTTAGTCACTCAAGAAATCTCTTCTGGTTCATTTCCATTCCTTAAAGCAAACAAACTCCAAAAGCATTGCTGTCAAATATTTGGAGATGCCCCTTAATATTTCTATATGAGAATAAAATTTTTGCTTTTGAGAGCCACAACAAGAGATGAAACAATGTATAAGTAAAAAAAGGCATAAATTTAGTATAATTTCAATTATTATCTTTGTTTTTTTTGTCAATTATTATCTTTGAATATGTACAACAATGAGCTAAAGAGAGCATGAAAAATAACTTTATATCTCTGCCTCAAATATTCTACATACAACTTTAGAAGTTAAGTTTTGAGACAAGCTAAGTCCTATTCAACAAACAAGCAAAATGTGATGATGCAAACCATAGAAACCTACAAAACACCTAAAGCCATTACTAATTCCAGCACACTAATGTAGACACCTGGTATACTTATGTACTGGTAGCTCAGCTGCTGGAAGAGAGCTATAGGAAAAGATAAAACCAGGTTTTCATGCGGCCCATAAAGTCCTGGCTGCCTTACTTTCTCTCTTATCTGGGACATGATGAGAAGCAGGAGGAAGAGCTGGATAAGCCATCACGTTCTAAGTATTTATGAAATGCTTATTTCTGTTAGCTGTTTTGTGTATCTTATCTACTTCTATAAACCTCTCTTACACGGTAACATTATTCTCATTTTACAGACGAAGAAATAAAGGCTTAAGGACACTAAATTTACTTCTCTATGGTCACTCAGCTATGAAGTTGCAGAGTCTCACTTAAGTCTTTCTAACACCTATGCCTTTTCTATCACAAAATGTAAATCAGATCTTTCCAGAGGAAGTTCTCCATAGGTAGCCAAAAGTCTCTTTCACAAGACCAAATAAAAAAGGCTATTGCAAGAGCTTTTTCTGCCAATCCTATGTGAAGTTCCTCAGCACAGAGGCTTCTCAAGTAAAAAGAGGGTGAGGGTCTGAAGTTTGGATTATAGTAAAACATTAGCCTAAAATATGTCCCATAGACTTTTGGAATTTAAATAGGTATTACAGTGGTGAGGAGGGAAGGTTAAGGAGGGTTTTACAGATCCAATAAAGTTGGGAAGCAGGTTAAGCAAAATCCAAAACATTACTTTTTAACTTTTTAGCCTCATGGATTGTAATTGTCCAAAATATACATAAAATAAATTATTTTCATAGAACTTTTGCACTATTAAATGAGAAAGCCATTAGACTAAAAAGAAAAGACAAAGGCAAATAAAATTCCTCAAAATGGTATCTTGTTTTAGCTGTAAATTAATTTTTAATAAATACAGAGGACATTAACATCCAAGCTCAGATGTTATTTAAAAATTTATTATTTTATTTTTAATCAAAACACCATAATTGGCTCAGCTGACCCTGTGATTTGGACCTGGTTCCACTTCCCCTCAGGCAGCTCAACAGAGAAAGATGAAGATCTGGGAGGCAATAAACCTTGCTTCAAATTCTGGTTCACTTATTACCAGTTGTATGATGCTGAGCAAGTTAAAAAGTTTCTTTAACTTTAAAATGAGAAAAACAACACTTTATATTCATAAATAATATTTGTAAAAATCAGAGGTAATACATGCCAAGTTCCTAGCTCAGTGCCTGTGGTGCTTAATAAAAGGTCAATATTATTATTATTATGCAAAATCACAAGTACCCTGGCCGGTGTGATTCAGTTGGTTGGATGTTGTCCTATGCACCAAAAGGTTGCTGGTTTGATTCCAGGTCAGGGCACATGCCTGGGTTGCAGGCTCAATCCCCAGTAGGGGGTGTGCAGGAGGTAGCCCAATAGACGTTCCACTCTCACATCGATGTTATTCTCTCTCTCCCTCTCCTCTCCCCCACCCCCCGCCCCAAATAATTAATAAATTAAAATAAAATCACAAGCAAAGAATCTGGAAGGCATGTCACACTACTTTTTATCCTCTCCAATTTAAGTTTTTTTGGTTCTTTAACTGTAGTCATTTAATTTTAGTAATACTTTCTTGTAATAATTCGAACAATAGAAGTAGCTCAAATAAGTTTCCTCTTTCATTCCCATATTCACTTCAATCCCCTTTGATGATTCCACTATATACTATTTTGCTATGTTGCCATAGTTATATTCAAACAGATTCACATTAAGTCTTATAGAAAGTGATAGTTCCCCTTCCCCCAACACATACACACCAAATCTTTTCCAAGTATTATCTTTTTTTTCCTAGTATTATTAATAGTTTGATGGGTAGTCAAAAGATTTTTTCCTATATTTATACAACCATATATTTTTTAACAACAAAATGAAGTCACATTACATATGACAGTTTGCAGCTTCCTTTTTTTTCAGTAATGATATAATCGGTACTAGTGGCAGACCAACAGCAGGAGGGTGGGTGAGCTCTGCCCTGGGTGCAAGCAATCAGGGGGTGCAATGTCTGTACAGAATTTAAATCAATGACACAAAGAGCTGAAAGACCGTCTTTTATTACCACCAGGCACTGGCAATACTGAATAATGTCACTAATAAAATACTCCTAAACCAAAAATCTTGCTTTGGTTAATCTCCAACATTTACAGGGAACTCATACAACTTAACAAAAGGAAGATAAACAATCCAATCAAAAAATGGGCAAAGGACCTAAATAGACACTTTTCAAAAGAGGACATTCAGAAAGCCAAGAGACATATGAAAACATGCTCAAAGTCACTAATCATCCGAGAGATGCAAATCAAAACAACAATGAGGTACCATCTCACACCTGTCAGAATGGCTATCATCAACAAATCAACAAACGACAAGTGCTGGAGAGGATGTGGAGAAAAAGGAACACTCGTGCACTGCTGGTGGGAATGCAGACTGGTGCAGCCACTATGGAAGACAGTATGGAGTTTCCTCAAAAAACAAAACATGGAACTCCCATTTGACCCTGTGATCCCACTTCTAGGAATATATCCCAAGAAACCAAAAACACCAATCAGAAAGGATATATGCACCCATATGTTCATAGCAGCACAATTCACCATAGCTAAGATCTGGAAACAGCCTAAGTGCCCATCAGTAGATGAATGGATTAGAAAACTGTGGTACATCTACACGATGGAATACTATGCTGCTGTAAAAAAGAAGGAACTCTTACAATTTGCAACGGCATGGATGGAGCTGGAGAGCATTATGCTAAGTGAAATAAGCCAGTCAATGAAGGAAAAATACCACATGATCTCACTCATTCATGGATAATAAAGACCATTACAAACTTTTGAACAATAATAGATACAGAGGCAGAGCTGCCTCAAACTGATTGTCAAACTGCAGTGGGAAGGCCAGAGAGGGTTGGGGGGCAGAAGGGAGGGGAGTAAGAGATCAACCGAAGGACTTGTATGCATGCATATAAGCAAAACCAATGGACATAAGACACTGGGGGGTAGGGGAGGCCAGGGGATTGTCAAGGGGGGGGGGGGGAAAGGAGACACATGTAGTAATCTTTGTAATACTTTAAGCAATAAAAAAAAAAATCTTGCTTTGGTCTAAGTCCTAAACAATTGCTGAGGTTGTTGAATTTTAACAATATATGTTACAAATTAACAGATTTTTATAGTTAATCTTTAATAAACGTTGTATTCTACACTGGAGTTAATTTATAGGACACCCACTTTAAATAGCCAGTCCTGGACAAAGTTGAAATCAGCTGTTCATTTCAAATGTAAATTCCCAGTAGCTAAGAATCATTTCAGTTTTCTCTGGATGTTCAGCTCCTCCAACCTCTGGGTAATTAAATATTCTTGCATTTAACCAATGATGGCAGAGCAACTGCTGAAATAAAACCCGAATTAGTTTCAAATCTATCATTCTACATTACCATACCATTTTTTGTACTTAAATTTGTATGTTTTTATTTGTATTTACAATTTTTATAATGCGGAAATATCGGGAGCCATTAGAATAGTTTTCAAAGAAACAAAGACAGCATTGCAATTTTTGAATTTATTGTAAAATGTGATTTTTATAAATCTCTTCTAGACTTCATTTGAAAAACTTTTTGAAATGTATAATAAAAGTATTTTCAATCAACTATGACTCAAGACAGATTGATAAATCTGATATACTATTTTAAGTTGAATATGCAAAGGTCAAATTTGATGAAGTCATTAATAAATTTGCATAAGTTAAGAATCAAAAGCAAACTATAATATTATTACCATTACTGTAACAGACCAATATGTAGGTAGATATGTTTTTCCTCCTTTTTTCAAAAACTATATTAATGTACTTAAAATGATTACTCTCTTACTTTTTCCTTTTGCTGTTATAGCACATTTAAATTGTTTACTTTTTTAATGGTATAATTACGTACATTAAGTTAAAAAATACTATCTGCATTTTTTTCTTATCATTATTCTTTAACATCAGGATTATTATTACAAATAATTTTGTCAGGGAGGGGTTTAAAGATGATCTATTCTAGTGTCAAATATGATAGGTACACTGCTCCTATGGACCTCTTTCCAAGGTCACACAGTGAGAAAGGGGTAGAATCAATAGTAAAAATCTGGTTTTCTGCTCTTTTTTGCTATATA